TGAAGGGCTGTCCTACATGCGGTGAAACCTTCCTGGACAACCGATCTAAGGAGAGACTTCTTACTGTCAGGGAGGTGCTGCATAAGTTCCGGTAACTTAGAGTAATTATCAAAGTTATGGTTCGATAACAGAGCAGCATAATTGGCAACCCGCAGTAACAAGGTCGAGGAGGAGTAAACTTTCCGACCAAAGTGGTCCAATTTCTTTGTCTCCCTATCCGGTAGGGAATTCTTGAATTGGGGCATCTTGTTCTTGTGACGAACCGCATCCACTATCAGGGAATTCGGCTGGGGGTGATTGAAAAGAAAATCCAGACCTTTGGATGAAACGAAATACTTCTTGTCAATTTTCTTATTAGTTGGCGGTATCGATGTTGGCGTCTGCCAGATATCCTGTGCCACTTCTAAGATGGCTTCATCTACCGGGAGTGCAATCTTTCTCTGTTGTTTAGGGTGCAGATTCTTAAACAGCTTATGCTGTTTAGCTTGAGAGTCAGTGAGCTGCACTTCCTGAGATTGCGCTACACGTTTAAACAGGTCTTGGAATTCCTTAAGATCATCCGGTGGAGACTTCTCGCCCATAGACAGCGGTTCATCCCTAGAGGGCTGTGGTGAACTGGCATTAGGGGAGATATCCTGCTCACCTTCCGAGAGTTGCCCTTCCTCTAGGTCCGACATTTGAGAACAATGCGTGGGGGAACGAGAAGATACGGGACGTCGTAGCGGAGAACGCTTAGAGATCTCCGAGCGCCCAGAGCGTGGACTAACTGATCTACAGGAACATGGAGACCTGCGATGAGACCGAGAGTGACTGTGATGAGATGATTCAAGATAGTCCGGTCTATAACGATGAGAATAGTGCCGGCCAGACCTTGCAGGGGAGAAGCGTCCAGAAGATCTAGTGCTGTCATACCTGGCGTAATATGTACTTCTAGGTGAATGAGTTGGTGATCGTGAGCGTCTCGCCGGAGAAGGAGATCTCGAATATCTCTGGTGTGAACAGCTACGCTCTCTATTATAGTAGTGACGAGATGAGAGACTGCGGTGGTAATAATGCCCATGGTCTCTTGCGTGGTGCGTAGAGGCACAGCGGTGAGGGGATGGCTCGTGGTGAGACCTTGGCGAGGCACACTGGGAGATTCCCTGGGCATTTGATTTTTGTGTTGATGCTGCTGGCTGTGTAGAGCCTGGAGAGTGAAGGGTTAAGGGCTGTGAAGCAGGCATCTGAGTATGAGCACGCTGATCCCCTGCCGGTGCTGAGGACAGCTCCCTGTGGGGGGCCGTGGTTAAAAGCCCTTCAACAGCCGGCACCGCTGATACAACTGGTGCCGCTGCGTCTGTCTCTTTAAGAAGCCCCGGTGCCGGGTGAGGATCCCGAGCAGGGGGCTGACGAGACTCTGAAGTGCCGGCCGGCTTATTGACTGATGGAGCACGGGTTACCCTCGAACGAGAAGTGCCCGGCTTGTCACCTGCGCTTGCCCGCGACTGCGGAGCAGCTGGCAGGGAGTGAGCAGGAGAGGCTTTCCTCTTTTTTGATGAGGGCAAAGCCTCAGAAGGAGCCTTCCGCTTATCAGTGGTGGGGTCCGAGGCAGAGGATCCTGAGGCAGTGGAAGGCATGAGAGCCTTATCAAACAGGATCTCCTTCAAGCGACGTTCCCGCTCCTTGCGGGCTCTAGTCGTCAGGCTGGCACAGTGGGAGCACTTTTGGGGGATGTGAGTCTCCCCAAGGCAGCGAATGCAAGCCGAGTGTCCATCTGACACCGGCATTGGCTCAGCACAGCCTTCACATTTCTTGAAGCCGGGGGAGCCCGGCATTTTGAGTTGTGGGGACTGAGTGTTACCGCCGGCTAAGAGCAGCCGCTTGTATGCGTCCCCGGTTTTAGGTTAGCCTGTTCCTTGATATTATCATTAGTTTGATTGTTTTGTTGATTCGTATTTAATCCCCATTTTCTGACTGTTGTATACAATTTAGTTGCTGTTTACTGATTGTGTTCCTCCACTGGCATTATCAAAATACTGTCTACAAAATCAAGGTGATTGATAAATTGCCCCAACATTTTGTCACCTCACCTATTTTACTAATGGGGTTAAACAAGATGTTTTTCTAAATATAAAGCAAAAAGTAATAGACTGAGTATGTATCCCTTCCAGACTCGTTTTCATTTCAAATCAGCTGCTAACACAAATTTGTATGCCAACTTATGCCATACAGACTGCAATATGTGAATCAACTTGCTGCTAAAATCATACCTCTTCAGTGCCTTCTACAGGGTCTTTCTGTTAATGGAATCAAAAGCTCCAACAAACACTCCCAGAGAAGGAGAAAGGAATTGAGAAGAGATTTAACCCCTAATTTTCACCCAACTTACTCATTAACTATATTAATTGCTACCTTGTAATGGACACTTTTTTTTTCCTTTTGGGGACTCAAGATTCTCTGGGATTTGTAAGACTTCCCCCTTGAGTGTGCTGAAAATTTCCCAATTTCTAGTAGCAGAAAGAGGAGTTGTGGAGAAGTCTTGCTTCTTTCCCTGTTCCAGTTTCTTGGTGCAGAGTGGGGAGCTCACATACCAATGTGACTCTAAGCACCATACCTGACATGCAATGTGAAGGTCAGCTAGCTGGGTACAGGAAGGGCATAACTGATCCTCTATTGACATGCATCTGACGAAGTGGGTCTTTGCCCACAAAAGCTTATGCTCCAATACATCTGTTAGTCAATATAAGGTGCCACAGGATTCCTTGTCGCTTCTACAGAACCTGTAAATGCTGCTCACACAGGGAACACCACCTAGATTTAAGCCAAGTATTTGAAGGGCAGTTCTGATACACATGCCTGAGTGGAAGCAGAGTTCAGCAATTAGGTGTTAAAACAGCAGATCCAGGTGATTATCATCACCATGTTGCTATTTCATAGCATCACAGAATACTAGAACTGGAAAGGACCTCAAGAGATCATCAGTCTGCCGCCCTCAAGGCAGGACCAAGCACCATCTAGATAATCCCTGACAGATGTCTGTCTAACCTGCCCTTAACCGTCTCCAGTGATAGAGATTCCACAACCTCCCCGTAGGCAATTTATTCCAGGGTTTAACCTCCCTGACAGATGGGAAGTTTTTCCCAATATCCAACCTAAACCTCCCTTACTGCAGTTTAAGCCCATTGCTTCTTGTCCTATCATCGGAGGCAAATGAGAACAATTTTCCCCCTCGTCCCTGTGATACCCTTTTAGATACCTATCATGTCCCCTCTTAGTCTTCTCCTTTCCGAACTAAACAAGCCCAATTCTTTCAGTATTCCTTCATAGGTCATGTTCTCTAGACCTTTAATCAATTTTGTTGCTCTTCTCTGGACCTTCTCCAGTTTCTCCACATCTTTCTTGAAATGTGGTGCCCACAACTAGACACAATACTCCAATTGAAGCCTAATCAGCGCAGAGTAGAGGGGAAGAATGACTTCTATCTTGCTCACAACTCCCTTGTTAATGCATCCCAGAATCTTTTTTTTTTTTTCCAAGTGTCACAGAAGTTAAACTAACTGGTCTGTAGTTTCCTGGGTTGTTCTTATTTCCCTTTTTATAGACGGCACTATATTTGCCCTTTTTCCATTTTCTGGAATCTCTTTGAACTTCCAGGATTTTTCAAAGATGATAGCTAAAGGCTCAGATACCTCCTCTCAGCTCCTGGAGTATTCTAGGATGCATTTCATCAGGCCCTGGTGAACTGCAGACATCTAACTTTTCTAAGTCATTTTTAACTTTTTTTTAATTTTAACTTCTAAATCTAGCCCATTTCCACTAGCATTCACTGTTAGGCATCCCTTCATCATCAAACCTGGTTTCCACTTTTTATATGTCTCCTTTTTGGTTTTTAGATCATGCAAGATCTCCTGGTTAAGCCAAGGCTTTTTTTGCCAAACTTTCTATCTTTCCTATGCAATGGAATAGTTTGCTTTTGGGCCCTTAATAATGTCCCTTTGAAAAACTACCAACTCTCTTCAGTTGTTCTCCCTCTTAGGCTTGCTTCCCATGGGTCCTTACATACCAGCTTCTCTGAGTTTACTAAAATCTGTCTTCCTGAAATTTCAATTATTCAAACTGAGGAGAGTGGGGGAGCGGGGATCTAAACCACAACTGTGCAAAAACAAACAAGAGCTTTTAAAACAAAATAGTTGAAAGAAACTGAATTGCAAACTTATTCTACCACCAAAGGAAGAAAATCTAGGTGGACTGAGCTGAAAGGTAGAGCTTAGTTTTGGAACATCTAGCAACAACATTGGATGGCCTCCAAATTCCACAGGTGGAGAGCCTTTGTAATGACTGAGAAGAGAAGCAACAGAAGTAGTCAGGTCGGGTAAAGCTGAATAACCTGAATTAAATGTAAAATCAAGTAAAATAAGTAAAGTAAGATAAGTAAATTGATTGATTAAAACATCTGAGAGATTTTTTATAGAGAAATGGTAAGTGTACCGTGCATACTGACTCTTCACTTTTGAGTTATGAACTTCACTTCAAATTAGATCAAAGACTGACAACCACTCTGATCTAATGTCTCAGAAATATCACAGATATAATGAAGATTAGTTAAGATTTGCCTCGTGTACAAAAGTGTTATCTAATGTATAAAATCTTCCCTACTGGTATGAGTATTTGACATTAAGGGATTAAGTTTCAAAATCAAATTCCCATTGATTTATATGTTGCCTGGATTTCAGCCATCATGTTTATATGCTCTTAAAAGGTTGTTCATATAAGAGTAGCATTTTGTTTCCCCCCTCTCTGCCCCCCCACATTTGTTTTGGTTCTAGACATACAACACTCCAGTTATGGGAAGAAGTGGGCCGTGCCCATGAAAGCTCAGGATACCATCTACATGCTGTGCTACCATACTATTTGGTTTTTTTAAGTTTATCCTGTACAGACTAACTTGGCTACCCCTCTGAAGATTATAAGAGTAGTATTTTTTCATTAATTTCTAATATATAAAAGCAAAATCCACTTGCCATTCCTTTAGGGTGACAGAACTATTTTTATTTAATTGCTGGTGCAGTTGTTCATTCTCATTCACCAATTCTTCAACTTGTATCCTTAACTTCTTCATATCGTCCTAGAAAACAAACAAATTCTCACAAAAATCCCAGAATGTACATATTTTGTTTAACTTACAATTGAGTGTGTTTATATCTTCCTGGCAAGAACATCACATTGGTTTACTTGGCTGCCCATCTTTAACTGTGTTTGCTAGTATCAGTGCTGCTGAAGGAAGCATATCCATATCTAAACTGAAAACTGCTTAAATGATGTAATTTTATTTGTGTTTGTATACACACACATGCACACACGTGCACGCACACTTTTGTTTTAAAAAAAATCGAGTAATTTAGGTTTCATTTCCTTTCAAACAACTAAATTACAGCCTCCTGAAAAATGGAGGTTTATTGGCATTACCAGATGATGCTATTAATTTTTCAGTATTCTTGATTAAAGAAAGATATTACGGTGAACTTAGCCCTATTTGTCTTCTGTTCTGTTTACCAATTTTATCCTTGAGGAAGAAAAACATTGGAGTACAGGAGAGGACTTTGGGCTGGGGCCAAGGAGTTCGGAGGGGGGAGTATCAGACTGAGGCAGGCAGTTGGAGTGTGGGAGAGGGTACGGGCTCTAGGCTTGGGGTGTGGGGTCTTGCGTGGGGCCATAAATGAGGGGTTCATAGTACAGGAGGGGGCTTTGAGCTAGGGCAAGAGTTGGGGGCTGAGGGCTATGGCTGGGGGTGCAAGCACTGAAGTTGGATTGGAGTGCAGGAGGAGGCTCTGGGCTAGGGCCAATGGGCTAGGAGTATGGGAAAGGGCTTAGGGCTAGAGCCAAAGTGTGGGACGGGGTGCAGGCTCTGGGAGGGTATTTGTTTTGGGAGGGCATTCAGGGCTGGGACAGAGGATTGGGATGCAGTTCAGGATGTGGATTCCAGGCAGTGCTTACCTCAGGCAGCTCCAGGAACCTGCAGCACACTAACCCCATCCATAGGCATTGCCACCACAGCTCTTTAGGACAGCATCTACACTGCGGGCAGGAGAAATGCACTGCGTCCTCCAGCTGCCCTCGCACTTAAAAGCTGGAGGGATATGACAGAGGTTTGCCAGTTGTGGGTCTAACCAGAATTTTAAGGGTCCAGTCAGCTGTGCTGGGTCCCTTTTTGACTTGGCATTCCAATTAAAAACCACACACCCTGGCAACCTAACCAGACAAGGTGGAAGAAGGCAGCTGGCACTATTAAAACCTGTGGCTTGAGTAGTGGGAGCTGCAATGTAATCTTAAAATCTTCCCTATTGGTTCTGAGAGTGAATTGTTTCCATTCCAAATTGCAGTTGAGACCTTTGTACAAAGTCTGTTTACTCTGATTTTCACTATGAGAGGATAGTTCTTGTACATCTCAATGCTGCATCGGCTCACAAAAACAAAACAAAAGAAGGCAGAAAAAGCAGATGGCATAATGTGTATGCAAGGTAAGAATCAGAGCAAAACTAGTTCTAGTTTTAGTCCTCCAACAGCTTTGGCAAGGTCCCTTTAAGAATTAACAGCTTGTGAGATGTTCCTACTTATTTCCAGTTACTATTATTTTTTTAATTATTTTCCAACTTGCCTCATGTGCAAGATTTAAATCATCCTTTTCTCGCATTCTGTCTTCATACGCCAATAGGAGAGGTGACAAATATTTCATATCCAGCTGAAGGAAAAGACAGAATGTATTTTAATCCATAGAAATATAGTCAAAAACATATTATAAATATTTTAGGTTCCTTTTTTAGTTCTATATTTAATTTTTAATGTAGTCAGATTCAAGTCAGGGTTTAAGTAAAATGAAATATACTGAAAATGTAGAACTCTGCACAGTACACAGGACAATAGATTGTGTAAACATTTATGAAAAGATGAAATTTTTTAAGAAAAAAATAAGGCCTGATTTTACATTCTGTTATGTTTTCTCAATTCCCATTAACTTCATCTGTGGGTCATTTCATTAGGAGTTCAAGGGACACACTAGCTAATAGAATTTCTTATAATGAGCAATATAAAAGATATTGTACATCAATTCACAAAAAAGTCAGAATCCCCTTAATTTCAATGGGAATTTAGTACCTCCCAGAAGGTGGTTTAGCACCACAGGTTCAGCCTGTGTGCTAAATTCTGGCTCTCATATGCATGTGTAAGCAGCAAAAGCCAGAGCTGAGACGGAACTGCTCAACTGGTGAACCCTAGTCCTGGCTACCTGAAAAACAATGAACCTCACGCCCTGCAGGTCCTCCATAATTCTGACTGTAAAGAGGTGTAGTCCACTTTAACATACATCCACTGACTGAACTCCAATGTACTCACCTTGCTTGAATGTACTCACCGTGCTTTTGGTGTTCATACACTGTGCAGGCAAAGGTGCAGGGTTTATGCAGGCATTTACAGGCCAACTAGAATGTCTAATTTTTTCTTGGACATTATTAAGACAAACGCTGGTAAAGTTTGATCCTGCGTAGTTTATGTGATCTGACAAAACCACATGCCACAATGCCTTCACTATAATAAGAGCATTTTTTTCACTACAATGCTAAATTCTAAATCCAAGATGAAAGTCAGTGAGGCTAGTCACATGTTTAAAATTATGTACCTGCATAAACGTGTCTTGGACCATACATATAAGTTGGAGGAAAGAACAGTTACTTACCTCTGTAACTGTTGTTCTTCGAGATAGGTTTCCCATGCCCTTTCCAATGTGTGTGCACATGCACCACATGCATGATTGTTGGGGTTGTGACACCCCTATTGGGACACCTCATGGCACTATATATATACCCCTACTGACCCAAATCCTGCTTTAATTCCTTCTTGCCAGAATAATCTGACAAGGAGAAGCAAGCAAGCAGATGGGTCTGGAATGGACACGAGCTACACATCTTGAAGAACAAGTTACAAAAGTAAGTATCCGTTCTTTCTTCTTCAAGTGATCACTCATGTGCATTCCAATGTGACTTACCACAGGAGGGCTCGGACCTTAACTCATTGCCAAGTGTTGTATAGCTCTGCCTAATACCACATCACCCCTGGGATTGCTGGTAAAGAGCATAATGAGTTGTGAAGGTGTGCACAGAGGACCACGTAGCTGCCCTGCAGATCGGTCATGAATCAGGACTTGAGCCAGAAAGGTTGTTGACGAGGCTTGACCCCAAGCGGAGTGGGCTGTGATAGGCAGAATTGGCACCTTGGCCAAGTCATAACATGGTTTGATGCATGTGGTGATCCAGGACGAAAGGTGCTAAGATGCAATTGGGTGGCCCTTCATGCAGCCCACTGTGGAGATGCCTCAGTCCCGTAGGAACAGTTTAGTACACTTCAGATAAATGTTAGGGCAGTGGTCTCCAACCTTTTTACACCCAAGATCACTTTTTAAATGACAGACCAAGCCAAGATCTACGGCCCCGTCCCTTCCTTGAAGCCCGCCCCTTCCTTGAAGCCCTGCCCTATCTATTCTCCTTCTCTCCATCACTTGCTATCCCCAATCCTTATACTGCTGCTTTTTTTTTTAATTCTTCTGTAGGAAGAGGTTTTTCCAACATTTGGCCTATCTACACTGGACCAAATGTCAGAAAAAAACCCCTTCTTTTGGAAGCCACCTTATTCCTTGTGGAAAGAGGAATATAGGGGTGACCAAAAGAGCTTGTTTGCTCTTCCACTAAAAAAGCGGAACAACAAACGCAACCCTGGATGCAGAAGAGTTTTTCTGGGATATCTCCAGAATCCTGAAAAACTCCTGTAGTCTAGCTGGACCCTTGCTGTGTTGAGACAGGATGTGTAGGCTCTGGGGTGGGAATGAGGGATTTGGGTGTGGGAAGGGGTGAGTGGTGCAAGCTGGATGCAGGAGGAGGTGGAGAAGGGGACAGTGGCTTGGGGAGGGGGCTCCAGGCTGGGCAGTGTTGGGATACTAAGCACAGGCTTGCGGATGTGAGGGTGCAGGAATTTGGGTTGGGGTATGTGAGGGGCTAAGGCAGCACGCTGACCTGCATGACCGCATGGCTCCTGGCAGGGTGGGTGGGGCTGGAAGCTGGGTAGCACAGGGCCCTGAATGTGTGGGGCCCAAGTCAACCGCCTCTTGCCCAAAGGCTGGGCCTGTTCTCCTGGATGAAATCACAGTATTTCCACACCTTGACAATCACCACCCTGATGTGGCACCATGTTCTGTAACAAAGTAATGTGATGATTTTTTGTTTTATTGCAAAGATATTATAGGATGCTGTTAATCTATATACAGTACCTACCTAAGGATTTTATCCTGACCATACTATTGTGGAATCTATCTTCCACATAAAAGTTAATAGGTATAATGTATTTGCATGGTAGCCCTAGTGGACATCACTATATCTCTAGCTCTTCTCATTTTGGGGGGTAAAAATTCTCTTGGACATAGATTTTATTGCTTTAGTTTTGCAGGAGGTGGGGCAGGTTTCTGCAGCCGGGTTGGGGGGGCAAGGGAGAGGGAACAGGGGGCCAGGAGGGCAGGGGACAAGTTTGGGGCAAAGGAGAGGGAACAAGGTTGGGGGCAGGGAGTTCACTACACCAGCCACGGAGGGAAGCCTCCGACCCGCGCTCCCTCCGGACTACCGCAGGGCAGCCGGGCTGGAGCGAAGAAAAGCGGCTGCCCGGCCAGCTGGCCATAGTGCTCAGCCAGGGTGCCAATGAGCTCCACATGGGCAGGCACAGAAGGGAAGCCACCCAATCAGCTGGAGCGAGGTTCAGCCTCCTCTGGGCTGAATGCCACAGCCAGCAGGCTAGGCAGCTTCTCCTCTGCGCCAGCCCACGTGGAGAGTGGTGCACCCTGGCTGAGCACCATCGCCAGCTGGCCGGGCAGCTGCTTCTCTTCCCTCCAGCCCGGCTGCCCTGTGCTCTGCCCAGGGAGGCTGCCCCTAGCCCCAGCTGTGATTTCAGCCCTCCCGACCTCCCAGCTCCCACCATTCCTCGCAGCTACTCACCTGTGTTGTTGCTCAGTGAGTAGCTGCTCCTTAAATGAGGAAATCTAATGTAAATGTACTGCGCAGGTGCACAGTTCAGAGAGGGCTCAAGAGCTATTCTTAGAGCCCCTGAGATCTACCAGTAGCTCACGATCTTCTGGTTGGTGACCATGGTGTTAGGGCATGTCTGAGATCTAGGGAGTGCAGCAACCTTTCCTTGTCTGTGGTATGTGGCTTTGGGAAGAATAAAGAGAAAAATTTCCTGATTGACATGGAAAGGCGACATGGGCAGAAAAGCAAGATGCGGTTGCAGCTGCACCATGTCTTTTTAAACAATAGTATAAGGGGCTCAGAGGTAAAAGTCTGTAGGTCTGACAACTGTCTGTTTGAAGTAATCGCTACCAGGAAGGCCACCTTATACAAGAAGTAGTCTAAAGAACAGGCGGCCAGGGGCTCAAATGGAGGGGCTGTAAGCCAAGAGAATCAAATTCAAGTCCCAAAGAAGAAAAGACAGTCACACCGGAGGATAAAGCCAATCCAACTCTTTAAAGAAACATCCCAATACCAGGTCCCCAAAGAGCAACATAAGTCCGGACCCCAGGTGGAAGGCAGAAATACCTGCCAGGTGCACTTTAATGGATAAGATGGCCAAACCCTGTTGCTTTAAAGACAAGAGGTAGTCTAGGAGCACCAGGACTGAGACCTATTGGGAGAGGGGTACCCAATAGCAAGGCAACACAGGGTGAACTGCTTCTATGTAGCTAGGTATGTTGCCCTGGCAAAAGGCTTATGACTATCAATAAGATCAACCTTGACCGAGTCCAAGTCAGTTCAGCTACGGAGCACCTGTGAGCTGGAGTGACACTAAGCTTGACCCATCAAATTGCTGGATCAGCAGCTTTGGCACCAGGTGGAGTGTTATGGGCCCAGCCACTGATAGGGATAGGAACATGGTGAACCAATGCTGCCTCGGCCATGCTGGTATGATCAGAATGATTGCCGCTTTGTCCTGTCAAATTTTGAGGAGGACCCTGGTTATTAGTGGGCATTGAGAGGAACATATAGAGCAACTGCTCCATCCACATCAGGTGGAAAGCATCCAACAGTGACCTTGTGCTGTGCTCCCTGGAAGGAGCAAAATCACTGGCACTTCCTGTTGAGATGGGTCACAAACAGGTCCACCTGAGGATAACTCAAGTTGTGGAAAATGGAAAGAGCAATGTACGCTTGAAAAGACCACTCATGGGACTGAAACGACAGGTTGAGGTGATCCACAAGGGTGTTCTCCCCCCTACCCTAACCTCTGTTTTGCTTGGAGTTGGGAAAACAAACAGAGATAATCCGCAGAGAGCAATGGGGCTCTGCTTCTCCCAGGTAACATGGTTTCACTTAGGCACATAGGTTTAAGGACAAAAAAAATCAACCAATACCAGTCAACCACAACAAAAAGAAAACACTTTTATTATTAAAATAAATCCCCTGTTGCAAGCATAGTAGATGACGGGGTATAAAAGCCATAAATTGAAATAGATTCAGGGATTCTCCATGGACTGTAATTCTTAGTTACAAAAGAGAAAAGAAAAAACAGTTAAGCACTCAGGAGTCCGTCTCTCCTGCTCCATACCTAGGGAAAAACTGCTGCTTGCACCAAAACAAAGGGGAAAAAAACTGTTGTTTGAAATTTCTTATCTTCATTTCACTGGCTGAATGCCCAAAGCCCCTTCTCTCAGGTGCATCCCCAAAGTTAGCTTAACCCTTTCCTTGCTCTCCAGATAAGTCAAGTTCTCCCTTGAAGCTCCTATTCGTGACATTTCCTGACACAGGGGAAAACAGCGAGCATCACAGCTGATATAAAACATTGCTGTTGTGTTGTCTGTCATCACCATCGCTCACCTGCCCCTCAATCAATGCAGGAATGGCTGGCAAGCTAGCTGGACTGCCCTGAGTTCTCTGACATTAATATGCAACCCCAAATCTAAACATAGCCATAAACCTTGAGTTAGCACATCATCCCACGTCTGAGGCATCCATCATCAAGATGACCTCTGGCTGTAGTCCCACAAACTGGACCCCCACACATACTATCTGGGACTCAGTCCACCACTCGAGGGAGTGAAGGAACACCAGCAGTATGGTGACCATGTGATCAACTGACTCCTTGGATGGCATGAACATGGATGTCTGTCATTCCTGGAGTGGCCACAGGCAGAGACAGGTGTACCTAAGGAAATATGCGTATGAGGCCATGCGCCCCAGGAGTCTCATGCAATTCCATACTGAAATGAGCAGGTACCTCCGTAGGTCCAAGATGAGGCCCACCATGGGCCTGAAAACAGGACTCTCTAAGGGACACGGTCACCTGGGTAGACTCAAGAAGAGCCCCAATTAACTCAATTCTCTGCATAGGCATGAGAGTGGATTTTTATACATTGAGGATAAGACCCAGGCAAGCAAACATGTCTTTGACAAGGTCCACATGCCTGAGTACCTGGTCTCTCAACCCTCCCTTGAACAACATATCCAGTTCCAGATACAGTTGATCCAGATTGTCCAAATACAGAATAACCAGATACAGATACCTGCACCCACTGATGAGACAGAATCACTACCACTGCCATGCACTTGATAAAAACTCGAGGTGTGTGGCCAGGCTGAAGGGCAACACAATGAACTGATAATGTCTGCCTGCCATGAGAAAATTGAGGAATTACCAGTGTTCCAGGATAATGGCAATATGAAAGTACGTGTCCTTGAGATCGAGAGCAGCATACCAGTCTCCCGGATCCAGGGAAGGGATAATGGAGGCCAGGGAGACCATACAGAACCAAAATTTTTGTATGAACATGTTCAAGTTCCTGAGGTCCAGGACAGGGCACAAAACCCCCTTTGGCCTTGGGAATAAGGAAGTATTGGAGCAGTATCGCCTACGTGAATTCTGGAGGACCTTCTTTATCACACCTAGTTCAAGGAGTGAATGGATCTAAGTTCCCTGTAAGTTGCGTGCCTGCAGCACTGTTTAGACACTGTGCGGCTCTCTTGCACCGCCCCTGCTAACTCCTCTTGCCTCCGAAGGCAGGAGTTCCTGGAACTTTGAAAAACATTCCAGGAATTGAAGTCATATAGACTAAGAAATGCCTGCTAATCCAAGACCCTGATCTTGAGGCCCCAGGTGGAATAAACCTTGTGCCCAAACAGATCTAGCACTTTAGCCTCCTTGTTTTGGGAAGTGGGCCCTGGCTGCCCTTGGTACTCTCTGTGGCTCACTACTTCCACCACCAGAGATCCTGTGTGGGGGTGGCTGAAAAGTTGTTTTATAGGCCTGCTACAGCACAAAGTAGCACCTTTCTACACCCTTGGCACAATAGATACTGGTGATTATCAGAAGACCTTGGTAGATGAATGGTCTTGATAATAGGAAGGGCGACCCTTGCTGGACCCTCCGATGAGAGGATATCCACAATGAAGTCAGTCTCTTTCACCACCTCTTCCCCCTGGAGGCTAAGGTTTTGTGTCACTTGCAGCAGAAGGTCCTGATAAGCATGAGAGTCCATCAAGGGTGGGAACAGAGATGTGCCTACACTGCCTCATCTGGGGACAACAACAAGGATGCTATCAGTAAGGGGGGGGGTCCTGCTGGCCTGACAGGTCCTCCACCTTTTCCCCCTCCTGCTCCAGGTCCTGCTGGGTCTGTTCAGGTGTGAAAACCACCAGTGCCTCTTCACCTGGCCCAGTCTGCACCTCTGGCACCAGACGGGGGCTGGCATCAAAGCTGCCACTGATGATTTCACACAAGTCAGCGGTGCCACTGAGGCAGCCCTGGAAGACAGGCCCTGTTCTTGTCTCTGGTGGTACACCCATGGAGTCTAGAAGGTCTATTGCATTGGCGCCTGCCACTGGAGTGGCCAAGCCTGTGCTGGAGCTGACAAGGAATCTCAGTTCCGAGAACAGTGCCAGGAACGGTAGTGAGAGCTGCAGGACACAAAGGACTCAGCTTCGAAGCTCAATGCGTATTCTCATGCTGACCAGGGAGCAAGAGCAGCCTGAGGCCGGCTGCGGCAGCTGGCGCCCCAGGCGAAATGCGCGATTGGCGCCCCCACCTGCACGGCTGTCAATGGACTGACATCATCATCGGGCAACCCAACGTCATCATCGGGCACCCTAGGCAGCAGCCAAGTCTGCCTATAGTCACGGGCTGCCCCTGCCACGGAGGGGCAGAGCCCAATGGTGCTGGGGGCACGGTATCATAACAAACTACCATGCTGCCTCATGGAAGCCGTCTTGCCTCAGGTGCCTGGGTATTGGCAGTGTAGAGAAGGAGACCAGTGCCGAGAGAGTGATAATTGGGGCAGCATAAGGCTTTACAGCAACCATCATCAGTGCCAGCAGGAAGGTGCTCTGTGGGATCCTAGTCATCAATGCAGGGGTAGCCATTTCTGGTGCTGAGGACAGCCCCCGAGGTGCTCCCAGAGGCAGTGCCAGTATCAGTGCCACTATTGGCAGATGTGACATGGGCAGTGCCATTGTTGACAGCGGTGCATTTGGCAGATGACAGGGCTGCTTGAGCACTGTCGACATTGATGCCATAAACTCAATGAGATCCCGCAGGGCCTTAAAAGGTGGAGGGAAAGTCCAGGTCTTTCTCCACCATGATGAGCTCTGGAGTGTCAACCAACACTGGATGGACACCCCACCCTGGGTGTTGGAGTCAGTGCCAGGACCAAGGTGCCTGACTTGGGCAGGCTCGGTGCTATGCAGGCAGCCTCCAGGACTTTACTAGGCCTCTTGAAGGGAGAGCGTCCTTAGTTGGTCTTTTTCCTAGGCCCAGGTGAATGGGAGTGGTGCCATGTCAAGGAGCTCACCTCACATGTGGAGGAACAATGATGACAGTCCCACAGTGTTCCTTGTGTTTTGGTGCCTAAGTGTCCCGCACTCAGGGAATGGAATCTATGTCATGGGGCTGAAGTGCAGAATCCATTAGCAGCAACTTGTGTCTCTCATGTTACTATGATGCTTGAAACCCCTGCAGATGCCACACTTGTTTTGAAAACAGCCTTTTCCAAGATAAACAGCATGTGGGTTGCCTGTAGGCATAGCCTTCCAAACTTAAAACATTGTTTAAACCCTTGGGCTGCTGCATGCCCCACAGGCTTTGCAGTTAGCGGAGGGGATGGGGGGGCCATCACAGAGATACCATCTAACTAACTGATAACAATGTTCTGTATATAGAAAAGAACTCTTAACTGCTCTCTAGGAAGAATGACTTCCTAAGCAAGAAGTCTGAAGCTCCAACAAGTGTCATTAGCAGAAAGAAGGAACTGAAGCCGCAGTCAGGTTGGCAGGGGTATACATATGACGCCATGAGTCATCATCTTCAGGGGGTGGATGCTACAGCGAACCCAAAGGGGACCACTAAGGAAAAATTTTCTAACAATTGTGCATGTGGCATGTGCACACACATTTTGGAATGCACATAAGCAATCACTCAAAAAAGACTTTTCTTGTATTTCTTACTAAATACAGAAGGGGGAAAATAATGAATTTAGGATTTGGCTGGAAAGTTAAGACATTTTGTTTTAAATCTTCTTTACTATATATTTTACAAATGTGTGTCTGCTTGTCAGTCAATATGTTTAATTCAAGAGTTACTCCTAAATGGTAAGAGCTAGGACCACCAAAATTGGTATACCTCTTCCTCTTACCATAACAAAGCAAAGTAAGGGTTTGGTTGTGCCAGATCAATGGGATGTGCCTGAAATGCAACTGTTTCTCATAAAATGGAAAGGGAGGGATCTGCTTACAAGAACAGTTGTGTAATGACCACTGGGGGGCAGCAGTGGGCCACAGATGGGAACCAATGCACAGTATTCAACTAATATTTTATGATTTTAAATATTTGTTTAAAATCTATCTGGAAACTACACACATTTTAGCAAAAGCTAAAATTATATATAGTAAAGGTAAGAATATTGATTTACTTACCAGCCAGGGTGGTGGTGGTCCTTTCAGTGGAAGACCTCCAATCTTTATATTCTAAAATCATTTTTAAAAATTGGAATTCAAATTAAACTGTCTCTATTTTTCAATTTCTTAAGCACTGTCCATTCCCAAACCATATAATTCATAGGAATCTTTTGTTTTATTTTAGATATGTATACTACTTACAGATTCACCTTTAAAGACTCTATTTTTATTGATATACAGTAAGCCATAATTTAATCCATATCAGTTTACTGATAAAATCACAATTTAATTTTTATGAATATCAATATCAATCTAAGAATTTAAGGTAAGTCTGGAGAGTATGCTCTTATAAAAAGGAATTCTAAATAGAATGTAGGAACACTGGTAAATTTTGGCATGAAAAGAAGGATTATTTGAACCATAATATAAATGTGCCATGATGAAGAAAACAATCCTTTCTGAATTTATCTTAATATAAAACAGTTTAAAAAAATCTCTAATCAAGGCAAAGGGATATATTTTTGACCAGAAGAACACACACACAGTTTTACTTAAGCATTAAATCAAGTTGCCATTTTGATGTATCTGTGGAATTTACATGGCCACCATTACCATAGTAACTGAGCATCTCACAATCTTTAATATATTTATCCTTAAAAGGTAGGAGACACACAGGGACATAAAACCGTAAGAGACCTCCTGGGTTATCGAGTCTAGTCCCCTTCTATTGCAGGCAACCCCATTGTATTTTCTCTTTCATAAACATCTTCAGGCTGCATCCTGATAGTAATATTCACCCCCTTTGACAGATTAGGCCCAGAGAAACTAGGTAACTTGCCTATGTTCAGAGAGGAAGTCTGTAATGGAACAGGGAAGTGATCCCAGGCTTTCTATATCCCTGACTAGCGCTGTAACTGCTGACAAAGGATAAATAAGAAACTTCTCTTTGTTCCATTACACCATGTTAATACTTGCTTGTGTGATTTACCAAAAATAGTCATAATATGCTAATTATTGTTTATAGGTTTTTCCATGGTGCTCAGCACCTAAGTTTCCTGTAAGCTGTGCACCACTTGGCTGCCTATCAAGGCCCATGCAGGCACTCAATGCCATGGTGAAGAACTTCTAAGGCTGGGGAGAAGCACCTCTACTGCAGCCACAGCCCCTGAGCTGCTGCAGCCAAAGAAAGGCACATCTGTCTAACTCTTGCTCTATTTACCATTTCCTTCTTTCAAAAGCATTAAATTCTCATCACAAATATGAAAAAACTCTGTGGATTTTGCCTTCAGCTATAAATCATGCATCTTAAGAAATATTTAAACCTAAAAGTATAGCAAAATCTAGTCATATCCTTAATGTGAACAATCAGGAAAAAAATACTTAATTGAGAAATATTAAGAAGGATGGAAGTATCTCTAGGGAGCTAAGATGTAGGATTTACTGTCAAGAAGATTTAGCAGGTAGCAAGGCAGTTCTACTGCAAAATGGTCTTTGCCTCTACTGTGAACATAGATGTCTGAATCATAGTTCACTGAGCTTTACGGCATTTGCAAAAACTAGAAAGCTTGATTACTTGAAAAAGTAGCAGCTTAACAAGAAATGCCAGCAAACATAATTTACTGTTTCTTAAGTATATTGAATAGCAGAGTATCTAACAAGTCGTTAAATTGGATATTTTTTAAATGTAGACTTTTTTCCCCAAACAAGACTGCTTGTTTCAGCATCCACTTTATAAATCGGGGTTATGCAACTATTCAGATCTTAACATTCATTATAAGTTTCAAAAGAAAGAACAGATAACATTTGACCTGGAATTTAAATGTAAATCTCTACTTATCCAATCCACCCTTTCTACAGCTAATGAAATAAAACAGGCATGTGGTAGTGTCAAAGTAACATCTTACTTCCAGAGATAGGTATTAATAAGGGGAAGGGGGCAAATTCTTCTGAATCTCAGAAAATCTTTATCCCCTTAATGCTTGAAGGTTTGGGAGAAATGATGTCAAGTGCTTCATTTGGTTTTACACTGTCTTTTTGGAGTTTATAAATTATTAAAATGGATGAAAGAAATAGTGTTTGAACTGAAACCTAGAAAATAACTAGAAATAAAAAATGTTTTTGCTTAGTCTAGTCTACCTGTGAAATTTCTCTCCAGCTGCTCAGGCCTTGGCCCTGCCAAAAATTCAAAAGTCTTTTTTTTTTTTTTTAAATCTATTCTTCCTACAGTAGGTAACTTGGTGATACACTTATACTAATTAAGCCTGCCATCCAATCCTGCAATCTGATCTGTGCAGGCAGATTCTTATGCCTGCGCTGAGTCTCAAGGAAGACAGTCAGGCTCTGCATAAGGGACTGCTGGTACAGATTTAATTGCAGTATTGGGGAAAATGTCTGATGTCAACTAGTCTACTAATATGTTTAAAAATCACAAGGGTTTGTGGGATCAGGCTTTGATTAACTGATTTATTAATTCCCTACAGACTAGAGATACTAAAAACAGAATGCATCGTTCCCCTTTTTCCATTAATTGTATGATGTACTGGGGAAAGTACTCCCTGGTACTAAGTGATGGCTGGCATACTTCAGAGTTTCTGGAAAGAGAGAACAAATGAAGTAGGTAGATACAGTAAACTTCCGATAATACGGCACCTTTAGGGCCCAGGGGGTGCCGGATTATCAGATATGCCGGACTATCAGAATGGGGGACTATGAGGGGTCTGGGGTGGGGTAAGGGGGATGTGGCCCCAGGCCCCTCATAGCCCCTCCCTTCTGATAGTCCAGCTCTTCCCCAGGCGCCCCCGATTCAGCCACTGCTGAAACTGATCAGGGGCTGATTCCAGGAAGCCGGGGCAGAGCTGCTCTGCCTCAAGCTTCCTGGAGTCAGCCGCTGATCAGTATCAGCAGCGGCTGACTTGGGGACACCTGGGACAGAGCAGCTCGGGTGCTGCCGGGTTGGTCCCGCAGCCCCGAGGGGCAGCTTTACAGGACCTACCCAGCAGCATCCAAGCTGCTCTGCCCCCAGCTTCCCTGATTCAGCCGCTGCTAAAACTGACCTGCAGCTGAATCGGGGAAGCTGGGGGCAGAGCAGCTTGGATGCTGCTGGGTAGGTCCTGTAAAGCTGCCCCTCGGGGCTGCGGGACCAACCCGGCAGCACCCGAGCTGCTCTGTCCCAGGTGTCCCCAAGTCAGCCGCTGCTGATACTGATCAGCGGCTGACTCCAGGAAGCCCGAGGTAGAGCTGCTCTGCCCCGGGCTTCCTGGAGTCAGCCGCTGATCAGTATCAGCAGCGGCTGACTTGGGGACACCTGGGACAGAGCAGCTCGGGTGCTGCCGGGTTGGTCCCGCAGCCCCGAGGGGCAGCTTTACAGGACCTACCCAGCAGCATCCAAGCTGCTCTGCCCCCAGCTTCCCTGATTCAGCCGCTGCTAAAACTGACCTGCAGCTGAATCGGGGAAGCTGGGGGCAGAGCAGCTCCAATGGTCCGGCTCCCCGGAGCACTTCCGGGTTCCTGATGGTGCCAGACCATCAGGAGTACTGGACCATCAGATGCCGGACCATCAGAGTTTTACTGTAATACATTATTTCTGTGCACAGGAAAAAAATCACTTTGATATCTGTGTGTTCTGTTTATAGTAGTGTCAGATAAATGTCCTATAGTTTCGTCACCTATTTTTAGGAAAAACATAAAAACATGAAATATTTAATGGCATCTCAGCTAGCTGCTTACATACTAAAACAATCTATAAAATCTACTAACAACGCCAAATATTTTCTTTATAAGCACCAGTAACTAGGACTATTACCTCTTCTTGAGACAACGGCCTGAATTTGGTTTGATAGCGACTCAATTCAACATTCAAACGATGGACAGTCATTTTCAAAGCATCATTTTCATCTACCAATTCCTGGGCTTGTTGTCTCAATGAAAGCAATTCTGCAACTTCCTCTGCATTTAAAAAAAAAAAAAAAAAGGCAAATCAGAACAGTCTGACGAGCACATTACACGTACTTTAACTTAGATGTCAAAACTCCTTAATTAGGAATGGAAATATTACATGATAAATAACTTCTATTCACACATTGATTTTGGTGTGGTTAGTAATCAACTCTGAATAAAAAAAAACAAAAGGAAGATCTGTTTCATGTGTTCTGTGGAAATAACAACTAGTTAATTATGTATAACATAAAAACAAAAATTCTATATTTAACAATTTATAAAGTATTTTTGCATGAGTAAGGTGGGTTTTGACATCTGAATTCTATTTAAACATTTCCAAACTATATTTCTGTATCTTGTCTGTCTAAAAATGACATGGACATGGGGGAAAAAAAAGAAATATGCAGTGCCTGGGTTTTTTGGGGGCTTTTTTGGTTTTTTGGTTTTTTAAACAGTGGAGGATGACTTCATTAGTTTCAAGTAATGAAAGTGAATGCCTACTCTTACCCAAAGGGATAATTTACTTCAGTGGAGTTCTATGCTTTAAAAAAAGGCTACAAAGAAAATGAAAGCATGTTTTTTTTTTCTACTGATGAGGAATCTAACTGTACCACATACTAAAAATCAATATTAATATCTCAATAGATTATGTGTTTAAGAAAAATGCAAAGCACTGCTGAAGAATCCACTCATGTTCCCATTCTATTAATTGGGAATTTTGTTCCTGATTGCAAGGGGAGTAAAACTTGGACGAACTGCTGAATTGACAATATCAGGGTTGTCAAGGTGCTGATATGAGTTATTTCATTCAAAGTTATAAGGAAGAGGGACTGCTCGTGGAATGAAATTATAATAGACTTCATTTTACTTAGCAGCATACTCTGTTGGGCTTCTCCTTCAGTGGCCAAAGGCATGCAAACAGAAATAAAGCATTAATACAACTTCCAATTATTGCAGATTCTACTTTAGTTCAAGTAGAAGAGCTATACTGCTTTGGAATACAAGGTTTCTTAAGTTTAGTGAATTTCTCATACACTAAAAAACTTGAATAAAAAAAGGTGTAAGGGACTCAAAAAAGACTTTAGTTTTCTGATGCACTGCTAAGGGACTTCCAAAGTGCCACTCCAACACTGACAACTCTGTGGGACTTTGAGACATCAAACTCACCAACAGCTTTATTATACAGTACTAATTCTGACCAAATATTACATTTAACACTCCATAAGCTATTTAAAGAACTGAGATGATTATATGTTTGGAGAATGAATTCTATCTGGATATCTTCAGGGGTCACCTTATGGGGGGCTCAACTATTGAGAGGACAGTTTATTAGTGAGTTAGAAAATAAAGGAAAATATAGTTCTTTTTCAATAAAACGTACTCCAAAGTTATATCCCACCTTCCTTATGTGAACTCTCTGCTGCTTTCCTAAGATTTTTATTTTCTTTTTCCAGTATGTTAAGTTTTAACTGTAATCCCTTTATTTGTTGTTTCAGTTCCTCAAGTTGTAGGGCCATAGTCTGATTTGCATTGATTAGACCCCAATTTTCTTGTTTTAGTTCTTGGAACTTTTCTTTAGTTATATCCATCCATCCTTGTCTTGCCCGAACAGCTATATCTAAAGATATCAGAGAAAAAATGTTATAGGACACACAGTATTCAAGTGTTTAGATTTTTCTACATTATTAGCTCAAGTGAGGGGGAAAGACTTAATCTTTTCACAAATTACTAGCATTGTATTACCGAAAAATAACTATTTAAATCTGGTAGAATAAAGCCCTGTCAACACTGGCACATTTTGTTGAGGAAAAACTGTCTTTGGACTATGAAAACCTCACAGCATCCACATTACAGTGCAACAAATTGGCCATTTTTCGTGACACAAAACTTCCAGCTCCATGAAGGACTTTTGTCTCTACACTGCCAACAATCATGCAGTATGTACCAGGTAGGTTTTTTGTTGAGTTTACTAGTCTCCACTAGGTGTCCCATAATGTCCTATTTAGCCACTATGGATATTACCTTGAACTCATCTGCCCTGCAGCAGCATAATGTTTACAGGTAAAGAGATGCATCCCTCCCATCTGCAAACTCCAAGAAATTAAAATCCATTTCCTGTGTTTGTGCACATTGTGTAGTGGGCCTCATGGTATCTTCTCAAGGAAACAGATGAATTTCCCTTGCTCGGAGCAATGAGGAGCTTTTGGATCTTATCAGTGTGCGGGCTGAAGATTCAGTATAATCAAAGGTGCAAGTGACCCGTAAGAATTGGCACATGTACAGTAGTATTTCTGCAGCCTTGTGTGCCAAGGGGTATGAGCAAGACACGCTACAATGCAGAGACAAGAACAAGGAACTCTGGTGGGCGTACCACTCAGCAAGGGAGGCAAATAGTCAGTTTGGTACTGCACCCAAAACATGCTGATTTTTTAAAGAACTGGATGGAATTATGGATGTGGACCTCATAACCAAACCCCGGGACACTGGATAGTTCTCAGAAAAAAGCGAGAAATACTTGTCCCAGATACACAACAGACACATGTTTATGAAGAGACTGAAGAGAACCAAGAGGTCAGGGTCAATTCGGTGACAACTTGTGCACCTGGCAGTGAGAAACTGTTCTCAAACCATGTTTGTGATGAGGCTCAGCAACTCATTGTTGAACAGATGCTGGATGTTGAAGCAGTGGAAGGGACGCAGGATATGCTGCTGTCAGGCAGGCAGGGTTGATGGCTAAGCAGGTGGCAGCCATGCGGGGCAGGATGGAAGTGGTGCACTGGTGAGTAGTTGCTGTGCAGGCAGGTGAAGTTGGTGGCTCAGTGGGCAGCAGCCATGAGGGGTGGTCTATGCAGTTGGAGAGGGAGGGCAGCAGTTCCGGATGACCAAACACAGCATCAATGTACACACGGATAGCAAGAGAATCTTCCTGGGAAATGGTGTTTGAAGATTCACCTAATGTACTTATTGTCACGGAGATTCCATGGTAGGGCTGCCTTTGCCCCAGTGTCCTGTTACAACATTTTTCCAAACCAGTCCTCAACATGAGCTTCTGGAACAAAGGCAGAACACAGTTTGGCTACATAAGGACTGTGGAGCCCCCAGCATGCCTCCAAAAGTTCAGCCTGGGTTTGCTTAACAACCTTTAGCGGGGATATGTCAGTGATTGCAGCCTGTGGATTATCAAAAATTGGATTATCAAAAGTGTAGGATTATCAAAATCTGTCCATGTAAGGCTTCATGGGCAGGGTCGCCCTGTTCACTGGTGGCGCATACATGCACAATGCTGGTCTGGCGCATGTGCGGTGCGGAGCTGGTGAGTGGATTTTGCCACGATTTGCCATCCCCTGGGCATTTCCACATGCCACACTGCACATTTCTGGTATGGAAAGAAAAGGCCAGCATGCAGCCTCCTGTACAGGCCACTGTTTCTGAAGATGCATGCATCCTGCACCTTTCCAGATCACCCCACAATTTATGACTGTGAAATGCCCTTAGTGATCCACAAGTGCCTGAATCACCACAGAGAAGTACCCCCACATGACTGATGTACTCTGAGGCAAGGTGTGGTGGTACTATAACAGGGATGCGTGTCCCATCGATTGCCTCACAACAGCTAGGAAAGTCCTTGTCAGCAAAGCCAGCCACTGTCATCTACACTTCCCAGAGTCACTGTCCTTTCCATCAAAATGTGATTTGCCATGCACACTTACAGAAATACTGCCCTAACGATAGACTTGCCTACTCCAAACTGATTTGCACCTGAATAGTAGCCATCTGGAGTGGCCAGCTTTCACAAAACAAAGCAGCTCTCACTCAGGTGTCCTTGTGCTGCAGTTCCAGGGCCAGCTCAACACACAGCTCCAGGAAGGTTTCTTTATGTATCCGAAAGTTCTTCATCCCAACCCTGCATAACAATGTGGTCACACCACTTGGAGCTGGTTTCCCTAGTCCAAAAGTGACAAGTATATCAGGTCTCCCATAGCCAAATGATATATCAATTCACCGTCCTCTAATGCTGATGAATCTGAATCAGATTCTGATAAATCTGACGCATAATCATCGTCATCCACTAGTAAGTCCATAATTAGGTACGCTATAATGTGTGATGTCTTCTGCACAGTGCTCACAATACAGGGACAGAAGGCTGAGATCCATGTTTTCTCGCCATGATTACTTGAGCTGGTGCAAAAGCCAGAAATCCAGTTTTTCTGGGAAGAAAAGAGATGGCTGACAGGATGTGTTTCACATTCCCAAACTACATTGCACTTTCCCATAGTGCTTAGCAGGTGAAGGCGACACAAGGTACCGTGGGATGCATACCCACAATGATTTGCTCTCTATGGATGAGGAAGCTGCAGATGTGGCCATGAGTTGTTGACAGTGGATACTAGAAAAATTGGTTTGGCAAGTTTCCACTTTTGGCAACTTTTGCCTGTCAACAGCACTTTGTTCACCAAAACTTGCAAGTTAGACATAGCCTAAGAGTATATTAAGCTAGGTTTGAGAAAAGTAATAGGAGTTTCACACCTAAATACAAGATCAAACAGTTAGGTTAGCATAAGTAGTTAACACGTATTCAAAAACACCACTCCAGCTGAAGTGACCTTTACCACCTTTGGGGTCACAGAACAAAAAGAAGGGTTAGTGGGTTACAGATTATTGCAATAATGCATATATCCAGTGTCTTTATTAACACCATGATTTTGAGTGTCTAGTGAAGTTTTGAATTCAAGCTTCCAGGCTCATCTTTTGAAAGTGTTGTGCAGATTTCCTTTGAGGATGAGGACTGATAGGTCAGATATAGAGTGATCACTTTATGAAAAGCTCTGCGTAGCTCAAAAATTTGTCCATCAGGAGATATTAAGTTTAGGGATGTTAAGCAGCAATTAATTTACTAGTTGAGTAGTTCAAGGAATTTCCATGGACTACTCAACTAGTCAATAAGCCTTACCTGTTCTGCCTTTTGAAATATACAAGAGCCCCAGCAGGGGCTCTTGTGCATTTCAAAGTTGGAATACCACGTGGAGCCAAGGGCCAGCGGGAAGTCCCGCTGACTCAGGAGTCCACGCGGGCACTTCTGCTTTGAAATGCACAAGAGCCCCAGTGGGGGCACTCATTCATTTCAAAGCAGAAGTGCCCGCATGGAACCTGGGGCAAATGGGGGACTCAGAGTCCCGTGCTGACCCCAGGCACCATGCTGCTCTTCCTCTTTGAAATGCACAAGAGCCCCTGCTGGGGATTCTTGTACATTTCAAAGCTGGCACACCACAGGAAGCACAGGCCAGAAGCAAGTCTTTGGAAACATATGCCACTTAAGATGAGCATTGTTGCCAGTATAGCAAGAACAAGTATAAGATAAGGGCAAGAACGCATAAACAATTCTGTTTACCCTAATGTACTGATCACGTAAACAGGGCCAAAGGACAAGAAGAACCAGATCAGAGTCAGATCGATAACTAACAGTTAAGCCCTACATCAGCACTAATGAGTAAGCCCTGGAAATTTCCAAACTGCCAAACAAGGCAGGAAAACTGTATTTAAGGCTGCCTCAGAGCCTAACAAATTGGACCTCACCGATGGGCTTTGGGTACCAGCGCCTCAGAAGCTGAGACAACCTCCCACTTCATTTGCAGTCTACCCAGGGTCCCAGGCTTGCAGGAAGGAACGTAAGATATGCCGCTTCTTTGCTATGTTGTTCTTCCATTTATGGGGCACAGCTGTTAGCTGTCAAGAAATAAACAGTTTGTGATTGACAGATACCTGTGTGGTGTCCTTTGTACTTTGGGAATCCAGTGTCGGACCTGAGACTTACTCTTGCCGGCTACAACATCCCTAATTAGGTTACCCACCATGTCTCTCTCCTACCTGGAACCGACATAGCTTTAGCAATAATCTTTGCTTTATTAACAGACATGCTATGAAAAGAGATCATCTTTAGTGCTTATGACTTAAATTAATTATACTTGGCCATTTTCTGTATCTTGTATCTCAAGTTTTTTTTGCTTTTTGTGTAAAAGGAGAAAAAATGCCTTAACAAACTTAATCCCTAAACTGAATGGTTTAGATTAGAATAATGTCAAACCCGAGAAGCAGTACCTGGGGATGGTGGAGGCTTTTCGCTTAGTGGATTTTCAACTGTCCGTTTTTGCTCCTAGTAAATAAACAAAATAATGTGAGGTAAATTTGACATAACAGTCATCCTTTTCTATCCTCACTGTCAACACAGAAATTACAATATTTACGAAGCATCTAAGATCCATGTTTTATCATTATAATTTTGTAACCCTTACTCTATTTATATGTAATATTTTCTCATATTAAACTGACGATAAAAGAAACCATAACAATTACAGAGAAGTATAGTCTTTTACACAGAGACAGCCTCTGTCACGGTTTCAATTACCTCTGCTGCATGTCAGCTTAATATCTCTGTGCATCAGTTTACCTACTTGTAAAACTAAGGCTAAGCCTATACTTTCAGTTTACGCACCACATATTCTGGCTCAAAGATATGAAAAACACACATACACTGGGCAGCAAGTTACAGCACTTTAAAGCACCAGTGTAAACAGGCTCCCAGCACTTTTAGGGTGCATCTACTCAGCACTGTTGTTTCGGAATAACAATGTGAGCATCTAAATGGTAATTCCATTATTTCAAAATAATTTCAAAATAACGGATGGCGTAGTCCAACTTCTGTAAATATCATTCCATGAGGAATAATGCCTAGTCCAAAATAAGTATTGCAGAATAGCTGTAGTGTGGATGCTCCACTGCTGCTATTTTGAAATAGCTCCTCTCTGGGGCCATTCAAAGTAATTACTTCCTAGTGCTTCCTGAGGCTCTAAATCGAGGTAGCTTGGCCACATTAGGGGAGCCTGCCTCAGACTAATTTCAAGGCTTCCCTGTAGAGGAGACACACTATTTCAAAATAAGCTATTTTGGAGTATTTTTTCCAGAATAGCTTATTCCAAAATAAGTGTGCGGTGTTCACGTATCCTTAGCTACTCCCCTCATGGAGGAGGCTTACATAAGAGCGCTGGAAGAACTGTCTCCCAGTGATCCTGCCATGGACACACTTTCACTTTAAAGCGCTGCCACAGTTGCATTTTAATTTTAGAAGTACAGACAAAGCCTAAGTATTAGTATTGCTTGGCTAGTCATGTATAAGTATACCACACCCTTTCTACTCACTACTGCTGATTGATAAAAAGGAGGAGGGGACTGTTTTATTTTTTAATAAAGAGAGAGAGATTACCTACAATAGTGAGTACAGTTCTTCTAGATTATTGCCTATATCAGTGTTTCTCAAACTCTGCTCTGCGGAGCCCCAGGGCTCCGCGAGACATCTTCAGGGGCTCCATGAGGTTGACAAACTGGAAACATCGAGAGGTACAACACATACAATCAGTGGACCGCTGGGACTCCACATAAATTTTTACGCATGTAAAGGGCTCCAGAGCCCAAAAAGTTTGAGAACCACTGGCCTACATGAATATATATTCTATACATGATGTACATGTTGTGGACTCAAAATTTGGAATTTTCTAGACAGCAATATCTGCTGGCCCACTGACTTCAAAGGAATTGAGAGCACTCTGCATTATATAAAGATTAGGACCTAACTTCCTTTGATCCGTGGTACCATTAAGTAATTTGTTTATAGCTAAAACAAACATTCCATTTTTTGTAATCTTTGCCTACCTAGATAATTATATCACTGTGGTATCTAAGCACCCAAATTACAAATAAAACAGTGCTAAAGGCCACCCGCTATCAACAGTCAAATAGTAAAACAGTAAAATACTATTTAGTGGCAAAATCTGTGAGAATTCCCCTCTCCTTCACAATAACTCAGAAAGTAGTAAGTAGCCACCTGTTTCACTGTTTCCGGCCACTCACCAATCTTTCCAATTGTGTAAATGGCATTATAACAGGGGTGCACAATAATTTTTGATGGGGGGGCACGCCAACAATTTGGAAAGTGATCAAGGGCTGCACTTTCCATGATGATAATGGAGGAGGTGCAGGGTGTAGGATGAGGTTGAGTGCAGAAGGGAGCTTGCGCTAAGGGACTGGATTGCAGGAGTGGAAGTAGTGTTGGGAGGAAGTTTGGGTGAAAGAGAGTGTTATGACTTGGGGAAGATTCTGAGAGGGGGTGCAGGTGTTTGGGTTGTGACGTAGAGCAGGAAGGGGCTGCGACCTGGGGCAGGAGACTGAGCAGGGGGGAGCAGAGGTTTGGGTTGTGACCTAGGGCAAGGGACTGGGGTGCAGGAGTTTGGATTGTGACTTAGGACAGAAGGGGGTTGTGACATGGACCAGGGGATTGGAGAGCAGAGTGTGGGAGGGCATACGGTGCAGAGAGTACCAGACAGTTTGGATAAAGTGAGGTAGGGCGGAAGCAGTGGAGAGAGAGTGTTTGGAGTGGGAGGGCCTGAGGGTATGTCTACACTACCACCCTAGTTTGAACTAGGGTGGTTAATATAGGCAACCGAAGTTGCAAATGAAGCCCAGGATTTAAATATCCTGGGCTTCATTTGCATCTTGCCGGGCGCCGCCATTTTTAAAGCCCCGGTAGTTCGGACTCCGTGCCCGCGGCTACACGCGGCACGGAGTAGGTAGTTTGGAGTAGGCTCTCTAATCCGAACTACCGTTACTCCTCTGCTATCCCTGGTCACAGCCCAAACCCCTGCACACTGTTCTGCACCCCTGCCCCAGGTCACAACCCCTTCTTAGGCACTGCACTCCCTCCTCACCCCAGTCCATTGCCCCAGGTCATCATCCTCTACTTCACCCAAACTCCCTCTCAGATCCCACACCCAATCCCTTATCCCAAGCTCCCTTCTGCACCCAACCTCCATCCCAGACCCCTGCACCTCCTCCATTAATATCATGAAAAAGTGGAGCCCTTAATCACAATCCAAATTGTTCATGTGCCCTCCTCCCCATCAAAAATTATTGTGCACCCCTGTTATAATGCCATTTACACAATTGGAAAGTTCGATGGCAAAGTGCAGAATTTCTTGGAGAGGCCCCCCCCCCACCAAAAATTATTGCTCACGCCTGTGTTAATGGCTTAAGGTAAGAAAGAAAAAGATTCTTTTAACAGAAATTCTGTTGAGGGTTGCAGATATCTAAAACTCTCATCTTAATGATTTTTTTAAAATCCCATGTTACTAATTAATACATGGTAAACTGTATTGCATTAAGGCCAGATCTCTGCTATCTGGTAGAGTTCTGACTTTTATGAGTCAGAAGCAGCAAGAACTGAGTGTGATGCCAGCTGTTTTGTAGGATGAAACCCCTTACTTGCAAGGACGTTGAAACATGCATTTGTCTGTTAAAAAGGCCTCAGAGGGATAGCAGTGTTAGTTGGTAACTAAAAAAACCTTTAAAAAAACCACCAGTAGCATCTTAGACTAACAAAAATATATAAACAGAATCATGAGCTTTTTTGGGCACAACCCAGTGTTAATTTTCTTTTTATTTGATTTCATATTAAATAATCATAATCACTGCTCCTTGTTAATTATCCCTTGTTTTAATATATTTTCTTCCACACCAATGGATTGTTTAAAATATATATTTATATTTACAACTTTGTTTGTACTGGTTGGTGCACATCCACACGCTACCTCAATATTGGTATTGCACATAAGAAATTTCAACCTGCCTAAAAGAAAATTCAACCTGCCCAAGGACAGAAAATCTTAAAGGGAACAGTGGTCCTATCCCCTCCACTTCTGGGAGGATTCTAGCATTATTGGTCCAGAATGAATGTAACAGCCTACTCTATGATTCCCAGAACTCAGCATGCTTTAATGATAGTGTTCCAAATCCCACAGAAATGAAATAAGTAACTCCCATTTGAAGGGGTTATAGTTGGAAGATCATAAACAATCTGTATATCACTGCCAAACAAGAAGTCAAATCTACTGCCTGAATCATGACAAAGACTAAGCAGATATTGTGGTGGATCTAGATTATTTCCTTCTCAGAAATTTGACACTTTCTAGGTGGTTCAGGTTGCCTTTATTGAGAGAAACTGCTGTGGCTGAGGATTAATGTACTTTTACAGGTCTTTCCAATAACCTAAGGCTGCACCTGTTTTAGCACAGAGGATTTTACATCCCTCAAATATGAGAATATCAATTGTCACTTGAAATTCTTTAAGGATCCCTGAAAAGTAGAGTCATGAGGATCTCTTCATGGCACTTGAGATCACCATATAAGGCATGAAGTGCTGCTTGGAAGCATGTGTATGTCACGAGCTAACCCTCGCTGATGAACAACTTTAAATCTTCCCTGTTGTCCTTAAGAAGACTTTTGGCAAAACTTGGCCATGGAATCCCACTTCAGTTAATCATATTTAACCAATAGGTCTTGGTGATCAGTGGTTTTCATTTGAGACATGATATGAAGTAATTTTTCCATCCAAATACATTGTTTATGAGGGTGTTTCTTGTCTTTTGGTGTTATTTTAATGCAATCTCTAATTTCATGCAGCAAACACCAATGAATCTGGTATGGAATATTCCCAAAGCCCTACTAAGAAGCCTGATAGCGGCAGTCTGCACTCATCAATGTTGGTACCAGAGAGGCAAGTATCTGTTAGAGCAAATTAGCTAACTCTAAAAGTCTTCAACTGAGGTGTAGTGCCTTGCGCAGATACAAAATTGGCATCCACATCTGACAAAATGACCCAGATATCTACATCCACATCCATGGATGCAAATACCCACAGATATGAAGTGGATATCCGCAAATGTGCAGCATTTTAGATACAAAATCTGTACCTACATTTGCAAAAAGTGAGCCACAGATGTGATACCCCTGGATATAAAGCAGATAGCTGCAAATTTGCAGAGTTCTGCTGATGGGCAAAATGTTGAGGCACTGAGCACGATGTGCATAATGAGCAAGAGCGTGTAAGATATTTTTTCCTTGAATTACCTCAACTGGAAGCTCCAGCATGTTAGCCATTCTGAAAAAAACAAATCCTGGAACATCTCGTAGTCATCTATTGAGACTGTACACACTGACAGATAAATGAACAAAAATAGCTTCATCCAGGAATGATGGAGTCATATGAGCTTGCTAAGGAGAGTCTGACTTAGCTCGAGAGCAAGGAAAGGGTTAAGCACTCTAGAGATGCACCTAAGGGAGGGGGCTTTAGGCATTCAGCCAATAAAATGCAGATAGGAATGTCAAACCAAGAGAGGTTTTTTTTTCCTCTTTTCTTTTGTTTGAGATCATAGTTGCTTTTTCCCCAGGTAACAAAGGCGTCAAATTCTCCCAGGAATGGACTCCTTGAAATATGTAAGTAGGGAAAAATTTATAGGTTTTGTTGATTTTCTTATTTAGGGATTTGGAAATCATTTATCAGCTGGTTAATTGTTTTTCTCTTTTGTAACTAAGAATTATAACCCAGGGATTTCCCCTGAATCTATTTCACTCCATGGCTTTTAACACCCAGTTATTTTCTATGCTTGCAACAGAAAATTTTGTTTTGATAATAAAAGTATTTTCCTTTTTGTTTTGATTAACCAGTATTGGTTGATTCTTGTGTCCTGGAAGGTCTGTTTGTGTGTATCTGCATGCCTCTGACTGAGGGGTCAGCTACTTGAGACTGCAGCTTGTCTTTCTCTTTTCTTTTGTCAAGCTCTGTGATGAGGTGGACAAAGCTACAACACCCCCTACAGCAGGCCAGAGGCCTTGCCATACCCCATCCCAGTGAGAGGAGCAGAAGAGAGGTCCTCCAGGTAGAAGTAAGTAAAAAGAGAGAAGTGAATCCAGTCATGTTCGGGGCAATTGTTCTTTATTTTGTGGTTTGGTTTGAACTGCTCTGTGTGAGTCTATGCCTCACCTCCCCAATTACCAACTAAGCATCGTTCCTAGTGATTTTCTCTGTATTTTGTTTTCCTTAATTGCTCTGTAACATCTAGCAACCAAGTATGCTTTATCAAATATATCTTTTGTTTTGTAATAAAAATCACTTTCTTTAAGGTGATGATTTGATTCTTTCGTCCTAGAAGGTCTGTATCTGCATGCCATTGACTGAGGGGTCAGCTACCAGAGACTGCAGCTTGGTTTTCTCTTTTCTTTTTTCAAGCTCTTTTGGGGTAAAAGAGCTTGGGCTACCGTGGGGGATGATTTCAAGTGTTCACCTCTGGTTTTTAGGAATAAAAAAAAGCACTTGGTGGTGGCAGTGATTCCCCCAAAATCTGTGTATTATGATTCCAAGGAGAAGTTTTTTTATAATCAGTACCTGTAGAGGCAAGGTTTTGAAGTTCTCTTGCAGACCCTCCCCTTCTGCACTCGTAGAGCCCTGACAAGGAGTCAGGAGTGCTGGACAACTCTGAAAAGAGAGAGGATATATTTCTTTTGTTGACTTGGTACTCCTTTTTCCTTTGAATCCTGAAAATTTTACTAGATAAGGAGGATGGGTTTTTAGAAGCATTTACTTCGACTTCACAATTTGAGGACACAATGGGAGTACTTTCGCATGATAAGTACTCAGAAGCTGCTACCAGTCCGGATAAGTTGCAGGGAGCCAGGTCTAGTGCTTGGAGTCCAAATGCCACAGCCAAAGGTCAAAGTAGAACCAGAGCCAGAGATCGGAGCTGCAAGTCAGCACCAAAGCCAGAGTTGAGACCTAAGCAAAATCAGGGCTGATGGTCAGGGAAGACTGCAGCAATCAGTCCACGAGACTGAAATAAGTCTGGGTGCTGGGCACATGTGACCACTTTTTCAAGACTATGATAAATTTTACACAAAGTATACCTTGTGAGGTATCATTTGAAAACTCAATCTGCTGCATATTAATATCCTGGTTAAATGTTTATGAATATTGTTTATAAAGTTATAGGCGTATACTGTATAACACTGCTGTAACACAACCCACAGTTAGAAAGGAGGGGCAGAGCTGGGAGCAGGTCTTGGAATAAGGCAAGCAGAAGGCAGAAAATCCACAGACATGTATGTTGAACATCCAGTAAACTGCTGCTGGCTTAAGAACCGCCTTACTAGGTTCCTTAGTCAATCATCCAGGGCAGTCCATTTGGCAGTCTGGCTGACTCCACAGATGGTCAGAACACAGAGCAGGCACAGCTGTAGGGCCTTACTTCTGACATTTGCCACATTCTAGCTCATGTTACTATTAGGGATGGCCCAAATGGAACATCAAATCCTCTTAACTTTGGTGAAGCTTGGAACAGATTCTGAACTTTAGCATTTACATACATCTCTTGTGTTTACATGCCTTGCATTTTCACTTATTTCTTCCAGGCGCTTGTCTGAATTTGTTATGCATTGTTTCTGCATCCTGTACTGCTGTTTCACCTCAACAGTGATTGCATTTTACTAAAGGGTGAACTGATGTAAAGTGCTTTGGGATCTTTCAAAATAAATGGATGTCATTAACCTGTAGGTCAGTTGTAAAAGGCTCCTTGGTGACAGCAAAGTAATTTTCATCTGAGCAATCAGTCATTTATGACACTTTTTTTTCCAAAATGCACAGTAATCATTACCTTCATCATACTCTTACCTTTAGAGTCAAAACAGGAGGTTCATCTTCTGCTAAGGAAAAAAAATAGATGGTCTTTACATCAATGCAAAACAAAAATCTTTTGCAAGTCCATAAACCATAAGACTATAGGAAAATGCAGACAACATTAAGCACATCTTCCCAAATGAGTACACAGATTAGATAATTTAATTCCTCTTTTATTATAATCCATATATTTTATCAGAAAACTGATATATGTTTATTTTAATATTATAAAGAGAAATGTGGGAGAAATCAAGATTTATTGATGTCTTCCTCTAGTTTATTTTGCTATTCTTTTAGGATCTCATAAGAATGGCCATAGTGGGTCAGACCTAAGGTCCCATTTAGCCCATTATCTTGTCTTCTGACAGTGGCCAATCCCAGGTGCTCCAGAGAGAATGAACAGAAATAGGTAATTATCAAGTGATCCATCTCATCACCCATTCCCAGCTTCTGATAAACAGAGAGTAGGGACACCATTCCTTCCCATCCTTGCTAATAGTTACTGACTATTTAAAATTCAGAAGCAAATATTTCAGATTTGAACAGTTCACAAAAAGACATTCAGCTGCTTCAATCTAGTACGCTGTTTAGAGCTGCCAGGGCTCAAAGAATCCTGATGTCCAGAACAGCTGATAGTCTAAGTAAGGTTATTACCGAGAAACAGATTTCTTGTCAATGGGATGACTGACTTGGCTCTTTTAAATACCTGATTAAATTGCTGTTGTAGGACTAAGGGATGTCAACATGCAGACAACTACACAATTAACCAATAAGGATGGGCTTAACGATTAATCCTGTTGACTACATACACTCCCCTTGCCCCTGTTGCCTCTGCATCAGAGGCAGCAAGGGGGAAGAGCTGGTGCCCGTGGGGAGCCAGTTCCCCATGAGTACCGGATCCACCCGCCGCACTGCACCGCATTGCTGCCTCTGATAGAGGATGAGGGAAGCAGCAGGGGACGATGCAGTGAAGCAGCCTTTTCTGCAGCAGGTCCGAGCAGCATCTATCCACGGGGAGCTCGAACCCCCCATGAACAGGGGCCTCTGTCCGTGGAGAGATCAGACCCCACAGGGACAGGGGCTGCTGCCACCCTGCACTGCTGCCTCTGTTCCCCTCGAAGACTAGCTCCTGCCTGCCAACCTGTGTTGCTGCCTATGACAGATTTCTCAGTATGAATAAAGTGAGTCACATAACCTAAACAGTCACTGAGATAGCAGACATTAAAACTGAAAGCTCTTCAGTGGCCAGAAAATTATGGATAGGAAAAATAAAGGAGAGAGTAAAGTAATAAAGGCTTTACTCACAAGTCCTTATGGATGGCTGCTTTGTAGGGCTGAATCCACACAAGCCGTTTCAGATAATACAAATTTGTATGGAGGCAAAGTTTTGGGTAAAAATCCTGGCCTTGCTGAAGTCATAAAAGCAGCCATTCTGGTCAGAATAGTTCATGTCAGCCAGTATCCCATATCTGGTCAGTGCTAGATGCTTCAGAGGGTGTGAACACAATGGGGCAATTTTGAATGACCCATCCCGCCATCCAGTCCCAGCTTCTGGCAGCTGGAGGTTTAGGGACACTCAGAGAACAGAGTTGCATCCCTGACAGTCTTTGCTAATAGCCATAATGGAGCTAACTTCCATGAAACTGTCAAATTCTTTTTTTAACCCAGTTATACTTTAGGCCCTCCTAATACCCCATGGCAATGAGTTCCATAGTTTGACTATGCATTGTTTGAAAAAATACTTCATATTTTTAAATGTGTTGCCTATTAATTTCCTCTTGTGATAGGTGACATGGTAGTTCTTGTGATAGGTGGCATGGTAATAACTATTTCCTATTCACTTTTTCTACACTACTCATGATTTTATAGATGTCTATCATATTCCTGCTTAGTCATTTTTTAAAATGAACAGTCCCAGTCTTTTTAATCTTTCCTCAAAGCTGTTCAATACCTCTATTCTTTTGTTGTAGTTCTCTTTTCCCAATTCTAATACATCTTTTCTGATATGAGGCAAACAGAACTGTACACAGTATTCAAGATGTTCATACACCATGGATTTATATAGTGACATTATGGTATTTTATGTCTTATTATCAATCCCTTTCCTCATGTCTTTAACAATTAGTTTTTTTAACTGCTGCCGCACACTGAGCAGATGTTTTCAGGGAACTATTCACAATGACTCTAAGATTGCTTTCTTGAGAAGTAATGACAAGGGGTATGTCTACGCTACCACCCTAGTTCGAACTAGGGTGGCTAATGTAGGCATTCGAAGTTGCAAATGAAGCCTGGGATTTAAATATCCCAGGCTTCATTTGCATCTTGCCAGGCGCTGCCATTTTTAAATCCCCCTTAGAAGCAGCGCAGAGCAGCTCCAATTGTCCAGCTGGCCGGACCACAGGTACATTAGAGAGCCTAATTCGAACTACCTACTCCGTGCTGCGTGTAGCCGCGGGCACGGAGTCCGCACTAAGGGGGATTTAAAAATGGTGGTGCCCGGCAAGATGCAAATGAATCCCGGGATATTTAAATCCCGGGCTTCATTTGCAACTTTGAATGCCTACATTAGCCACTCTAGTTCGAACTA